CAAGAGAGCCAAGTTGTTCATACACTTTTGTGTACTTGTGTAAAGTACTAGCCTATTTACGCTCGATTGGAAATGATTACATTTTAGTAAGCGACTAAATTTGCCGGGGTCCTACTTTATGAGGTAATCTATGCCATGTTTTTCCTATTATTACCGAGCCCAAAAAAATTTCTGATTTCACCTACCACTGGAATTGGGCACACTAACGTGATCTAATTTGCGTACAATTTAATTCGCAAGCATTTACTAGTCACAGAAAATAGGGAATTGCTAAATTCACACCCCTTTTCATTAGATTCACACCCTTCCTTCGAAATATTATATATACAAGGTTCGCAATCGCCGTTGGACAAAGACGAGTACTATCTCTGCCACTTGTCTACGGGCGTCATCTTGCGCGCTGCTGTAGCTGCTGGCACCGACATAGGCAAAAAGGTCAAAGCCACAATGGAGTCGGGCGCGCTTGTGACCGACGAGATTGTCGTCGGTATCATTAAGGACGCCATCAAGAGTTCGAAATGCCGTCGTGGCTTTATTATTAACGACTTATCACGAATCCATGTGCAGTCCATAAGCACGACATGATGGTATCGGCAAGCAAGCCGAACACTTTCTTTGTGAGCGAAACAAAGAGAGGTTATTGCTCCTTCATCATCACATCTGTGAAAGTGCGTAAAATTGCTTGCTTGCAAATCATCAAAAAGAGCTTGTATCGGTGTCTTTCCATTTAGCTTGTCCTTTCGAAGTTTCGTACGCTTATAGTACAATGTAGAGAGGTTTGCTAGGGTACCGTCATTCTTCATAAGAAGGGATGAAATGATCTTTAACGGTTTAACACCAGCCAATGTCATATTTCTGACAGTATCGGCCTGCTAGCTATTTAGCTTTCTATGAGTCGAATGACCAGACGGATGGAGTGACGGCTCGTGATTGCGGCATCCATTCATCACGTTTAACTTCCAATTTCTCCTTTTTTGGAGAAATTTTTACTTAAATGGAACGGACAATCAACTCGGCGTGAGCTGGTCTGGCGTCGGCGCTCTTTACAAACCTTTGGTACGTTTACGGCACCTCGATCACATTTAAGGTAGACACGCTTTCCTGCAATCGAACTTTTAATCGTAACAGCATAGCCTTGGCCACGTGCGAACGTCTGCACAGTATCCACAAGTTGCTCCCGACTGGCATGCTCAACCTCGGGAGGAGGAAGCGTGTCTTTTCGTGGTGCCCAATCAGTAAACGCTGGAGGAGCTAGGCCACAGGCGTGAGTAGAATCTTAGGTAATTCTTACGTATTACTTGCCAATTAATGGCCTAGATTATCGAGTCACACCTTTGTCAGAAAACAAATCTTAAAATGAATAGGGATTTTATATGTAAGGTTTTAAAAGAAGGGTGAGAATTTAAGTAAAAGGGGTGTGAATTTAGCCATTCCCAGAAAATATTACGGAATACAAAAATAGCCTGATTTCGCTCATGTTGTGGTCACTACTGCTTAAAATATTCGCAAAGCATGGCTTTGAGGATTCCATGAGCAAGGGGTACCAACAGGACAAATATCAAGTTCAACACCTTATAGTCAGCCGTACAATTTGGAGGGACAAATGGTTAAGATTATCACTAGCGTGGTAGTAGGGTTGATCGTAAGCTCGCACTGATGGTATTCATGTGGGGAATTACTTAGATGCTTAGGTAGAACCAAATGGGCACGGGTGCAATTACTGCTAGATCCCATGATTTCGAGCAAACCATTCGATAGAGAAGTGCAGCGGTATTTTTCATAAACATCCAGCAAAGATTGCTGTTTATGTGCCTTTGAATTGAGGTGAACAGGGTACTGATATTCAAGCCAAATTTGGCTAGCGATTGTATAAAAGTGCCGACTGCTACGGTCCCAGTAAATGCGCATTTCGTTGGCATAAACAGGATCAAGAAAGAGGCATTCTCATATAGTTGATGAAGCTGTACAGGTGTTTTATGAGCTGTAATCGTGCTATTGATTTCTTAAGCGGTAGAGGTATGGGCCAATGTCAGCATTGTTCAATCAATGCGACACACTTTGTCTTTTATGCATAAATTCATCATACTATAGCGCATAGTACGAAGTAGTCATGCGTTGTAAATTTTAAAGGGGACATTGTAGAAGCCAATGATGACATTGGGAACGAGTTGAAACTTGTAGGGACCGAACTGAACCAATTTCGCCGAAATTGAGAACCGTGATCCGATTATCAAATTCAAAACCGTTTATACTCGAGTCGGTTCTAGCCAGTATCGCTATTTGCTTACGCCGTATTAATGTTCTTCGAAGATGGACATGGGCCGTAAATGACAGAGGGATCTTGTGCACAACCTTCTACGACCATTCATTGGAATATCACCATGCTCGATCGTTGCGTTCTCCCTGAGGACTCGCGATTTACGAAATCGGCTTTTAGTGCATTTTCATTAAGAACGTTAAATCGAGAACAAGCAGTCACAAAGTAACCTTGCATAGAACGATACATATTCAGCATATTGCCTATCAGTATCACGTTGTTGCATGTGTGAGCGCACTTTTTGCTCATCAGTAAACGTCGCGCGTGTAATGTACCTGGTAGAGTGAAATGTCATACCTTGATTCTTGTCATGTTCGGCTTTTTCTTACTTTGCTTGCAAAAATTAATATAAGCGAAAGGGTGGAATACGTAGCTACAATGGTGGCAACTGCTGATGCCTAGTATGTAATCTCCGAAGACAATGTCCGTAGAGCGCTGCATCCAAAACCTTATCCAAAACTTATAATTTTAAAGAGTTATTTCATGCCAAAGTATGAAAAAGTACATTTTCATGCCAGACTGCACTGACCACGAATCGGTTGTAAAATGATGGAAAGCCAGCAGTACAATAATGCTCACTTGCGCAATCCCGAGTCAATTGACCACAACTGGTCAGTCAGGGAAAAGTAGGTAATGCATACCCGATCGATCACACGCTTGGAAGAGTTCTGTAATGAAAAAACTGTTAACTAACGCATCAAAGGTTCTGCCAGTTGTGTTAGAGTGTCAACCTGAAGCACTATATAAGTGGTCACCACGGTTATCCTCCTGCGTCCAATGTGAATCCTCAAATACCATTGTAACGGAACCAGAATCGTTAATCTCCCTGGCCTAATTGAAGGCAAAGATCCCGTCCATACCTCCTCACTAATCTTGGCTCTTTCATACATACGACGTCTTATCTAGAAGAGATGGGTACGTCATCTGAGACGGGTGCAATTCAGGAGGGTACTGGCTGGGGGCACGTTGTCGTTATCCGAATGGTAAGCGTAGCTGGACGTTGGTTGTTGCACGGCAACAGGCTGCACGTACACACGCTGCCCGTTGCAGTATTCATCCGAATAGCGGGTGTTACGGCGACAGCTGTCACCTGAGTCCGCAGTAGAGGCGCAGCAGGCACCACATAGGGTCCCACACAAGCAGCACTCGAGTATGTCGCACTCGTCCACGACAATTTGTCGAGTTTACTGGTCTGCGGTGCACTTGTGACGCTTGCGGCGCTTGATGGTGAGACCAGAAATTGATGTATGAAGTGAGCTTAGTTTGACCTGGCTCAAGTATTCTGAAGGTGTCAGTTCAAGCGGTACATGGTTCGTACATGACTAAGAGGATGCTGGAGCCAATGAGGAGGGGAGAGATCGCACGATCAACAATGGCCAACCCGTGTGGGCAAAAGCTAGCCAAAGGCCGATCATAGGTTGCAATGACGACTCAGCTTGTTGAGTTTTGTGTCGTCGATATGGCTTGATGTTAAACACTCCTCTGGATCGACAATATAGGGGAGCAAGCATGTTCCCTATTTATTCATCTTTCCATAGCTTTGGTGTTCACACACAGTGCTGGCAATGGTGTCGCTTCGCTCTTCATTTTTTACTTTGTTGGTCAGCATGTCGCCTCTGAGAAATTCAGGACGATAACGATCACTTTTGCAAATTTGCACGATTTTCTCGAGCAACATGCTGCGTGTTGGTGCGTTAAATTGATCACAGCGGTATGTCACGGTTGATCTCATCATAGGTTTTGACATTCAGAGACCGTTTGATCTGGGATGCCGGGGTCGATGCCCTTGCTAGCTTAACCTCTGCATTCCATCGATCAAATTAGCATAAAACTAGAGTGCAAAATACAGAGCGTCAGCACTACCGGTAAGTACCACACAAAGGTATGGATGGTAAGTAGCGGTTTAGGTTTGATGAGGGCTTATTTTTGGTCTGCCCATCCGGCCAAAATAAGGATAGGGTGGGTGCACATGCAATCACACGACATAGCGAGGCCATACTGTAGCCCTTTCATCTTGCACGAACCAAATTATCCAAAGATAGCCCTTGACGATGGATCATACCGTCTCATGCACATCTCGTAGAAGCTCATTGCATGCTGTCGGTAAGCAGATTAAAACATCGGTATGCAAGATTCAATGGTGTTCTGCTGGTTCAAAAAGTTGTTAGTTAGGGCCAGTCTCTACCGTACGTCAATACATGTCATGACTCTCTAGCAACTTCAACATCTTTACATGGTCGACATCAAGACGGTGTCTGCACATCCATGTGCAGCTTCAGATACTGGCGCAAAAGCTGCTAGCGTTGCTACGTACCAGCCAACCGCTTGATACGTAGTCGCCCCGTCGCAAACTAACTCCGGCAGCTTCAGCTTCTGGCACACGTAACACCACACATTTCGGCTCTTTGCTTCGACCCAAGTAACTGCTTGATCTCACTTAGACCCGCCGCTGTAAATCACTTGCTTTGACGGTCGCGGTTGACCTCCAAATCCAGTAAAACAGCCGCCGATTTGACAACTGTACTACCACACGGATGGAAAGTTTTCAGCCATGAAAAAACATCTGCACAGAAGTCGGACACGATGGACGACGTTAAGACGCCAATGACGATCCGTTTATCGTTACGCAACAAGCATAAACAGTGCCCCACCGCGAGGCAGTGGTCTCCAGCCTGCGGTCGGCTCACGTCTGCTTCAAAAACAAAGGTGCGACACAGACGCTTTCCCAGCGCAGAGTAGAGCACACGATCTCGAACAGCCAGTAGCTGGATTTGAGCTGGCTCTGGTCGGCGATGGAACCAGCTGTCATCAACTCGCATCCCGCCACGTTGCCGGCCTCGTCATACATATGATTAAAGTGCGTCCTGCACAAAAAGACAAATGTCAGACGACAACAGATCCATCAAAACAAGCTAGTGACGTACCAGTGAAATAAATCGTAGAAATACTCATGGGCGTCTTGTACGCGTAGAATCTCAGGAGACGGAATCGCGCGCATGCAAAGCGTGAAGCCAGTCGGCGTCTGCATGCGGAACAAAACCTGCACCGAAGCGAATGTCGTGTCAATATTCGGGATCCGATGATCCCGTCGAATAATGACCAAGTCGTCGTTCATTTGTTGCAACACTTGGTACCGAAATTGAACCGAACGGTCAAACGACAAGTCTTTGAACTTTCGCGCATCGGTAAAAATGCCCCACGTCTTCAGCAATAATCCCTCAGCTGTCTCCAACGGAAACTGCTTCGTAAATCCATACTGCAGCGTCCCCGTGCTCTCGTCATACTTGCGCTTATCCGTCCAGCCCATAAAATTGGCACCTGTCGACTTAAAGTGCTCGGTCTGCTGAAACCGCTGGATCGCCTCGTACGATTCACGCACCAAAGCATAACATTCCGCTGTCGTGAGTTTCGTAAACTCGGCCTGGAACGACAAACTTGGTGGGACGCCCGTGTCCCACACCTCCAATTTGGCTTCCTCTCCTCTCTTTTTTCATCAGCGAACCCATTTTCCACGGTCTCGTAAAACTCTTGATGAGGTCGCAGCAACTGCTGCAACATTCTTCGATCGTCTTCCAACCTTTGCACCACAATTGAGAGCTCGGCGTACTTTTTTGCCAACGCCAGCTCGTCAACATAAAAAGTACTTGCCCGTGCTGGCGCGAGCAACTGGCTCTTTCTACAAATGTCTTCGTTTTTCCAATAGGAATGACACCCCGTCGCCAGCGACGTCGACTGGCGTTTCTCAACCATGGCACTGTACAGCGTCTCGAGCTGCTGGACCTCGTCCCGCATCGTCTTGAGCACACGCTGCCGTCTCTGTCTTGACTTTTTCTCAATAGCTGACCGTCGAGCACGTTTGTCTTCCATCCCGTTGTCCTTTAGGAGCGTCTGGTGCTTCTTCCCACCACTGGGACTGATGTTCCGGATCCCCTTCTTGCGCTGCTGCTGGTTATGCAGGACGGACGCCATGGATGCCGGCGTGGGCGACAGGACCGAAAGGGTCCGAGGACTATTAGTGCGACTGCTACAACTATTACTACTGCTGCTACTGCTACAGCTGCTGCTATTTAGCGGTCGGGTCGTATGACCAGGTTTGAGCATTGTGGTCGCAGTGGGTACATCACTGGACGGCCGTTTGTGCGGCTTGAGCGTGGCCAGAGCCACTTCGTCGTAATCATCGTCCAAGTCCGATAGATCGGCGAAAGCTTCGGAGAAGACGCGCTCGATTGTAGGCGAGAGCGGCGGCAGCGCCGAGAGCTCCAGTACGTCCATGAGTACAAGTGGAATACCGTCTGAAAGGTATTTGTTTCGTTGTGGTGGTAGCGGCGGTGGTGGTTATGTGGTAGCAGTAGCTGGACTTGATGGTTTCTAGAGTCTAAGGGGGGCGAGGGAGGTCGTGATGGATTGTCTGTGGTTGTTGCAGTAGTCGATTGCGAAGTAATGCAGCGCTGATGTGACGCCAGAAACCAGCAAGTGCGTCAGAGAGCACGGTTTTTGTCAGCGGTAGGTTTTCAAGTGAGACCTTGAGGGAACGCGTGATACCGATCAGGGATCGGTACGGTGGTCTGGCCTTGCGGGATCGTTCAATACAAAACGGATATCGCTGTTGTGGCGGCTGGGTTCGAGCGTAGCTTAAGACCGATCTGGAGTCTTTTTGTTTAGAACGCACGAGTTCAGTAGAAGATCGTGGGACTTGATCTGGCACCACGTGGTCAACGAAAATGATTTTAAGAACATAACATAGAGCGTCCTCTTCTGAACCTGAGCTTGTTCTAGCTTCGCGCCGTTGTTTGCTACATGGCGGGGTAGGCAAGGTCTGATACAGAGGAGCTTCTCGGGACTAAGCGGAAATCGTGTGATCATCGATGCCGATTTTGCGTTTGTGTGTAGTATACGTGAATATTCAAGTCAGCTTCATGCAACGCACGTTACTTAAGTCGGGTCAAGTTAGTCGCACTCATTACGTGCTCATCCGCAATGCGACAACTTCAACAAACTGTCCAATTGTTGCCAAAGGAGACACCACCTGCAGTACATGTGGCCTGCCGAAAACCGGTATGAGCACGATATATCGCGACTTATAATCAATGTTTCTTGATTTTAGAATGGGCAAGGTAGCACTTACGCAGTCACGAGAGTACCGTCCCGCCACATCTTATTGTAGCGAGCACATGGCGATAGCGTAAACGATGGTGTATACGTAAACGAGATGGTGAAGAAAGTTTGTGGGAGAGTTCAGACATTTAGTGACGTTATTATTTGGTCGTGCTACGAAAGACTTGGATCAAAAATAAATCTAGATCTGCATCGAACATTGACGTCTGCCGGCAGCAAAATGGTTGCGTCTGTATTCAGACACAATGAGGCGCTGCAAGAACTAAATACTGTCAATGCAAGTAGTTGTCAATGCAAAATAGCTGTGTACGCTCAATTTCCCGCTTGTCGAAACATCTCTAAGATCGTTAGTCTCGAATCTGTCTCGCCACAGTTTTGTGATCAGCTATTGGTCCGACAGAATGCAGACATACTATAAATAGGAGATTTGTAGACAGGTGGGGTCATAACACTCGACATGAACATTGCTATCCCTCTTAACTAGGTACAGCAGCATATTAGCGAAAGGTTGCTTGCCTCAAATGTGTAGCCTTCGATGTGTAAAGAAAAGCTGACGTCAATCGTTGAGGAGATTACGACAATGTGGGGAGGATAAGAATTATCCTGTCGACGCGCGTCGATCTACAATGCACGTCTGATGGTCTGTATGGATACTGCATAGCACGTATGTGCATTCAGTGTGCTAGGATTTTACATGTGCTCAACATCGTGCAGGTTTATACCCAAGTCTTGGCACTATCGTCGATCGAGGTACTGGGCCAAACACACATGTAGACAACGACGCCCTCTGACAAATACATCTGTAGACAGCAACGCTACACTCTATTTGTATCCTTCTTCGAAAAAAACGCAAGATTATTCACGTCCAGCCGGCTTGTTCCTTCTCTCCACAAGCCCGCTAGTCAAAAGAAACGTTGAGCAACAGACGTTATCGGCTAGTTGACACTTTTGGTGTCTCCGTGCCATCGCTTTGTACACGTCATTTAATCACACTGAATATCGAGTTCAGTATCGTACGATTCAAATATTCCATTGCCGCACCCACAGTTGTTTTCAGGTGATCTTGCTTCTACAACAAACATCGTGACCTTTAGCTTATTGCATCCAGCCTCAGTCTTCTTGTATTCTACTTCACCGATTGTGATGTTTGCTTCAACCCTTCACTCCATCATAGGTGCAACCGAGAATGGGTATATTACTGGCATATCGAGTGTACACATCGAGCAAATTTTAGTCCCTCTTCCGTATGTGCGTGTTATTAAAAGTGCGCCAGATAGACAAGCCTTTTGCCGTGTCTCTTGCATTTGATAGCAAGAAATTCAGCCTTGAGTACCGCGCTTTGGGTTACAGGAGTGCACCTGCAGTCATTACCGATAATGATGTCCTGCCTTGTCATTTCGACACTTTTTTGCGTATAACATCGACTTTCATCGATTTGTGATGCAGCCAAGCAAAGAACTTCCACCAATATGAACGTTATCAAAAACGGCTGCGCTCAGTTGAAACTCGTTGACTGGTAAAAACAATGCTGGGATATCTGCACAACCTCGTAACACTGCACTCAGCTTGCGACAACATTTTGTCCTGTGCCATCAAACGTCTTGTCGGCAGCTGAGCGATTGGCTTATTGGTTCTCGTAAGCGTCCATGGTGCACCTTGTACTGAGCTCGAATAGCCTAACGCAAGATAGCGCAGGAACGGTGGCCAGCAACCCAAATGCCTCGTACCGCCGGGCAACTTCGACGACCGGGCATGCTTACATTGTCTGCAACACGTGTGCTCACTCGGCTTTTTTCATTTGCGAGATGTCTGGCAAACGCTCGTCACCGTCATTCCAAATACTGCTTGGCAATACATTCGTCCACACTTTATTCTCACGCTCATCTTAAATCCATGAGGTCGTGAGCAATAGCATCAGCTCGGTCCTGCCGCCACGGGCTTGCACAACTCAAGCGATAGCTTTACAAAGAACCAGAATGTATATCGGTTGTTTTGCTCAAAGCCGTTTCAACAAGAGCGAACCGACGCATGCGTGTTCCCATCGCAAGACACAGCACACGAGTTCGAAAAGCCAATGTCCCGAATGCAACTGGTTCTGATCGTTCACCGATCCTCCCAGCACGACATCACAGCCCGCAGGCTTGTCCAACTCGTCAAACAACCGGTCCAAACGAGCCCTGTCAGCGAGCACAAAAAAATGGCAGCGTCAGCGTGATAGCAACGACCGTAACAGCACGTACACCAGCCACCATAGCACAAAAGACTGCATGACGTACCAGTGGAAAGCGTCATAATAGCTTTCATACGGCCCCAGTGCTTTTTCCAGCTCAAACGTTCGAATCGTCCGGCTGCACGTAATGAACCCAGTAGGTGTCTGCCACCACGCAACAAGCTGGACCGAGACAAACGTCAGTGGCGACGTCGGAAACTTGTGGTCTCGACGGACGATTACCAACTTGTCATTCAGCACTTGCAGCACTTCAAACCGCGTGCGGCCGAAGTTACCGAACGATACTTGCCTCATCTTGTCCCCATTCGAATAAACCTGCCACGATGGGCCCAGCAGCCGCTCGGGCGTTTCGAGCGTAAAGCGTTTAGTAAAGCAATACTGAAACCTTCGCAGGTCCCGGTCCAGCTTGCGCTTATCGGTCCAGCCCATGAACGTGACACCGGTCGTTTCCACGCTATTGGCCACACAGAACGTCTCGATCTCGTGATTGGCGCTCTGCACGATACGGAAACACTCGTCAGAAGAGAGCTGACGGAAACGCACGGCAAACGACGGCGAGCACAGCGGAACGCCGCTGACCCACAGCTGTCGCTCGGGTTCCTTTGTCGCAGCGGCATCTGCTCGTCTTGTGGCCGCGACTCGCTCTCGCAGCAACTTGCGCAGTGCCGCGCGGTCGTGCTCGAGCGCACAGGTGACAAGTACCAGCTGTGCATACTGTTGCTGCAGCTGGTGCAACGAGACGACCGCGAGCGGTCGCTTGTCGCTGCCCCGTCGTCGCTCGCGTCTCGTCGTCGTCAGTGTCAACGCAGCAACACGCTGCTCCAGGTGCCGGACCTCGTGTCGCATGTCCGCAAGCGCCTTTTTCCGCTTCTGTCGTGACATCTTTTCGATCGCGGAGCGCGCGCGCGCTTGGCTTCCGCGGACTCGGGACACGGCGCGGACGCGCTGTCGCTGGCTTTCCTGTCTTCACTGTCGTCTTTGCCCTTGTGCCACGTGTGCTGCGCGCTCACGCCGACTACCACTGACCGTTGGTTGCTCTTGCATCCCTGCGAGTGCGGTAGAACCGCTGGGAACAAGGCGCGCAGTCATAAGCGACGAATGCGGCATGTGTTCGTGCGCCATAATGGCTCTTTTCTTGCCGTCACAACCGCACTGCTATGCCGCACAATCTCGTCTGCCTCTTATTCTCTCGATGTTCGTGACCGCGTGACGAAACACAGTGCGCGGTTGAAGCACCGACCATCACTCTCACCATGCGCTAAAAATAGCGCGCAAGTGCGCCATAGAGTGCGCGGTTGAAGTGCAACCAGCCATCGACCACGTGCGACAATCCGCGCGCGGTTGAAGCGACGACCATCACTCACTCCTTCCACGTGCAGCACAGCCAATGCGCGGTTGAAGCAACGACCATCACTCTTACAAAACGCCCCCCCCGCCTCCAGGCGAGCCAATCGCAAGGCCGCATGGATCCAACCATCACTCCGGCACCGCACGAAGCCGCGAATGCCACCCTCGCCACGGCCGAGGACCTCGCGTCGCTCGCAGAAGATCGCTGTCCTCACGCCGATGTGCTGTCACGCGTGCTGTCCCTTGTCTCGCAAGACTACAGTGCGCCCGTCCCGTCCTGCGCAGCTGCAGCAATCCAAAAGGCACTGACCGACGTCGCGGATCTCCTGCAACGTCATCAGCTCGACGTTATTAACGACAACGATAGCAATGGTGACGATCGTCGTATCGTAGCGTACACGCTGGCGCAACGCACCGTGATTGAGCGTGGCCTGCGCCTGCTGTGGACGCACGTGACGACGTATCAACTACACGCGGCGCTGATTGACATGATGCGCACGATCGACTTTCTGCCGCGCGCGCTCGTGTTCTGGAAACACTTGAGGAAGTCCACGGTGCGGGAGATTGTGCAGCGAGGACCGATGCAGTGGATCCTCACGCGCGCAACAAATCACTGCGGGCGAACGGATCCGGAGCCTGGAAGAGACGCTGGACGCTCATTTGGTACGCGAGAAAACGGGTGTCTCTCAGTCATTGGGGTAGACCATGAACTAGAGGCAGTGTACGGGATGGGGATGAGATAACGGCGACTGAGGGGACGTTTGGTTGTGTGTGTATGTGGTAGAGGAAGATTGGGATGTTCAAGAACTTGACCATGAAGTGCGCGGGCCTGACTGCAGACTCTGAGCAGCTGGAGGCGAGGGTAAACGAAGGAATGACGCTTTTGGCTCTCGTCTATAGTACACGCGGTATGAGTCCGCCACGAAAAGGCCGCGGAGCGTTCAAGTCACAGGAGCCGCTGGTTTTCACGGCTTTTTACGTTGATGCGGGTGAGATATTAGCACAGTGCGTGAAGATCTATCGATTGTGTGTTGACTGGCGTCGTCGTTTGTGTCTTTTTTGGTAGATCCACGCATTTTTGATAAAGGTCGTGACGGTGACATGTCACATGATGACGTGCTGCATTCGCTGCAACGAGTGGAGAAGAATTTGGTGGCGTTTCGAAGTGCACAGACTCAGTTCTCGCGGTGTTTCGAGACGGTGATCGCACCTTGTCGTCCGCCGTCCAAGATCCGTCAACGCTGGTTGCAAGTCACAACTATTGCCATTTGCCTGGCTGCTGGAGGTATATGGGTGGTCAATAACCAGCAGGAGTTTCGAAGTGGCATTGCCGCCATGCGTGCTGCTCTGCGTGACTTTTTGAACGAGCACATGATTGAGCCACTTCAAGCTATTTTTGTGGAGGTGGTGCTGAACCAGAAGCCAGAGATCCAAGATGCCATGGCGCTCCTGGATACGAAGCAGAGCTTGCGTCGCATGCTGGCGGATTTTGTGAAGGACACGAACCCGAATGTCACGCAGGCTGACATGGATCGCATCACGAACGAAATGGACATGTCGGTCGTGTCACTGCAGTACGAGAAGCAGCTGACCGGTGCAGTACGCAATTTAATCACGGGGGATATTGTCCGCATGCTCCTGATCCAGGTGCAGTTTATCAAGAAGGAGCTGATGGTGGCAATGGGTGCCATCGACGAGTTGATGCATGCAAACCAGTTGAACCTGCAGATCCTGGCCACTATTCCTACGTTCCTCGTGTTTGGTGGGTTGTACAAACTGGTCACGTCGACATTTCACATGATATACAAGCGCATGAGTGACCGACTGTACTACGACTCGACTGAAATCGCCAGGTTTTTACGCAACAATTTGCGTGACATCGAACGGCTACTCAATAAGCAGAATCGGGGTGCAGGCGCGAGTGATGACGCCGTGTTAGGCGTTCGCGATCTCGGCTTTCTCATTTTACTACTCCATCAGCTGCGCGACCTCTTTGAGGCGTACCGCGCCCTATTCCAAGAAGAAGAGCACGAGCGCTTCGAAGAGGACCTAAACGACCTCATTGGAGAGGGCTTGCTGGTCTCACAACAGCTCGCTGTCATTCAGCGCATGTACCATTCGCATCCGTTCCTGTATAGCACCAACCCAAACAAATCGCGCTGGCTGCTGGAGTAATGAACACTCCTGCGTTTTTCGCATCACATTACACATATCTAGCTGAGCTGGTAGTCTTGCGGGGAGTAATACTCGGCGAGCAGACGGTAGATATACGACGGCTGGTGAGCTCCTGTGTTGGTGATGAAAATCCTGACACATTCGGGCGGGACGTAGTCATACGCCGGATTCAGTACCTCAAGCTAACGAACGATACACAATGTCAGCAAATCGAGCAAATCAAGCAAAACAGCCGGGTAGCGCTTACGTTGTCAACAGTGTCCTCGTAGTTGTAAATGCTGGACGGAGCTAGAAGCTCGCTTAGAACGTCCAAATCGTGAGCGTACAACGGGGACAGCTTGATCAGTCCCGCCACGCACACCACAGGGACCGAGCACTTTTTGGCAGCTAAAGCGATATTCTGCAGTCCCGACTGAGCGATCAACCCTCCATTGGCGACCACAGCAGCAGCAGGAACCACCACCTTATTCACACGCGCCATCAGGGCGAACACAGCACTGTCCGGTATAATTGTGACGTGGATACCGCTTTCTGCAAGTGCGTGTGCCGTGCGCTGACCATTCAGCGAAGGCGCAGACTCCACTACAATCACCTTGAACGAACGCTTCTTAGCAGCCATCTTGAGAAAAGCCTCGACCGACAGTGATCTTCCAAACGTCAAGATCACCTCACTATGGATACCCGAGAACACACAATGGGTACAACCCGTAGAGTTAGCAAGCCGTTACATGACAAGCTACTTTGCACGCAATTACGTACTCAGTGTGGATGTACTCCATGGCTTGGTCCGCAATGTTTACGTGCAGACTGTCGATCTCATCCACGAGCTCGGCAATGCCCTCCATCACAGACTATGACACACGAGGACACAGCACCGTCGTCAATGTTCGCTGCTCACAAGAGTACACAGCTGAACAAAAGCAGCATATAATCCCCACTTTACCATCTTCAAGTCTGCAATCGGAATGGAGAGGTCCGTGTCGGTACCTGGCGTCAAGATCGTACCCAACGACCGCGATGAATTGTTGCTATGACTCGAGGAAGGGGCTGCTACGGGGGGTGCAACTGCGCTGTCATCGGCAGCATTAGCCAACGAGAGCTTCAGAGCGTTCGAGTGCTCTTCCCGGATAATGTAGAGCACACGACGCACCACGTTGCCAATAACCAGCTCGTGGGCGTTGGCTTTAGTGAGCATGTGTCCCAGCTGATGGATCTTCTCCAGGATCTCCCCGGCCGTCGTCCACTTGGCTGTCTCGAGCTGCAGTACAAACGTCGTCGTCAGCCGTGCCGAGCCTGTACACTAACTGTATACTCTTGTATGTCATCAACATTGTGGATGCACGTGTATACACACCACTTTGCACAGGACGCGAGTCGTCATTCGAGCTGTCTCGTACGAGCCATTCAATTGCCTGGTGTATACACACATGTATACAACAACACATTCCATCCTCTGTCAGCGCTGCTTCGGACCGTGAGTTTACCTACCCGTCCCTACAACCAGCAGCTGCAAACAAACCTGCGCTTGAGACTCAGCACCAACTCGTCTACGAGCTCGCGCACCGCCGGCCACTCCTCTAGCCATGCTTTAAGTTCTCGCGTCGGCGCTGCCATCGGACGTTCAAACCGGAATCCTTTGCTCGAAAAACTTTCTGAATTTCAGCCAATCAACAAGCCCACAGTCAATCACCGACCTCCACAAAATACGTCAATCATTAAATCTCTAGAATTAGCAGCTAATTTAACATCCAAGACCAACAGAATAACCCGTAAAACATAGCGATTTATCATCACAGCGAGTATGCCACGCCACAGGTTCGCGTCTCGTCCGCTGCAGAGGAAAAATAGCAAACCAAGCGACAAAAAAGTGAAAACCAACCCCTATCATTCCAGCCGCAACTGCGCCATGGTGTTGGGTCTGCTGCTGCGCGACGCCGAGGAGCGGCAGCTCTCGTTCGACTTTGAAATGATGTTACCCGAGGACGGTGACGACGGCTACCGAGACCGCCGCAACGGGGCGATCGTAGGGGTAGGAGGCGCCACATTTGGTCAACCAGGTGTCAAAAAAGACTTTAAACGCGGCACTGTCGTCTGTCGCCACTGGCTGCGTGCACTTTGTATGAAAGGCGACAATTGCGAGTTTCTGCATCAGTACGATATGTCCAAGATGCCGGAATGTCGCTGGGGCATGGAGTGTCAAGTGCCCGAGTGTCCTTTTCGGCACGTGCCGGACGAAGAGCGCGTAGAATGTGCTTTTTATAAACAGGGGTTTTGTTCCCACGGGTCGAGTTGTCGGTACCGACATATCAAATTAGCCAGGGAAGAGTGTCCGGATACTGCGGACTTTGCGTTACAAAGCAAAGTCGCCGATGAAGAAAATGTCAAGCGTCGGAAAGCCCAACCCGTGAATGAGTTTTTCAAAATTGCCATTTGTAAGCATTGGGAAAAAATGGGGTCGTGTCCGTTTGGAGACGAGTGTCACTTTGCACATGGAGATAAGGAACTGAGGCCGTTTCCAAAAGGAGAGAAGGAGGAGATGGAAGCTCGAGCTGCGAGGTATTCGGGAGGTCACCATGGACCGAGTGGACCCGCTTTTCAAGGAGGAGAACGGATACAAAGACCTGCAATTACTGGAGCAAAACTGCCGGACGATGGCAAGCAAGTGAAGTACTTTTTACTGCAGTCGGCGAGTTATTTGAACTTGGCACACGCGGTGCATCATGGACAATGGACAGCGCCTGCAGATGTACTACAATTGATCAAGGCGGCGTCAGAGACGTCGGAAGACGTGTTTCTGTTCTTTGCAGTGGGACCGAGCAAACACTATCAGGGAATGGCTCGGCTAGTAAACGGTGCACTGGCAAACACGGAGATATCAGCTGGTGAAGACTTGTCGACTAGTATTGTGCCCTATGAGGCTGATGGACGGTCTACGTGGTCTGGCGCATTTGGCATTGAATGGCTTCGTATCTGTGAATGTCCGTGGGAGCGACTTGCTCAGTTTGAAAACAAACAACTCGCTGTTCCTGAGTGGTACGGAACCTGTTGAAGTCAGGTCGTTGCAGCTGAGTATTCATGTTGGTGCTGACCTTCTGCTGTGTGCTTGTTTACTACAGCCCAAATGGCCAGGAGCTCGACGCGGATACGGGGCATGCTCTCGTGCGCTTGCTGTCAAACCAGCCCGAGATCAAGCTTCATTACCGGTCCGTGGAAGATGAGCCCAAGCTTCCGGGGGGCGCAGAACAGCTCGCGACTCGCCGACGGGAGGCAGCAGAAAGCTTGTTTGGTGTCCCCAGTGTGCCTGGATTTGGTGGACCCGGACCAGCGTGGAAAGTCACGAAGCCAGGGTTCGTGTTCACGTGTACTACACCGACTATCGATGAGTGTTTCGGTCGCATGCTGTTTGGTCTGGCGACTGACAAGGAGGAACTGGCTCAGCAGCACGTGACTCCAGGCACCCCATTGTTTCTGCTCAATTTGTCGGATCAGCACCTCCTAGGTGTCTTCGAAGCCGTGTCTCCTGCAATTGTAAACATGATTCCGAGCGCATTTTGCCATGGTCCGAACACGCCATCGCCTTTTCCAGTCCAAGCACGATTCGTAGTCATGCTAAACGCACCCGCGTTGCCTGTGTCAGACCCACAGATTCAGGAAGCAGTTGGCGACAAGGGCTTTGACGTTGGCCCGCTCTCGTTACGCGTAACGCAACAATTGGCAGGTGTGTTTGCTGCGCGCATCGGTGCCCCATTGAATGGGGCGCCGATGGGTCCTGGAGGACCCGAGCGCTTTCGTAACAAGCCCGGATCCAGCGGACCTGGTAGTCGATCCAATGGCGGCCACGACGGGCCTAAAGATCCCAATGAGCCGGCATTTTTGCAGAAACTTGTGGTGGGCATCGACAATGAGAGCGAATTTGGAGTCACGCGTCGCATTATTGGACCTGCGGGGTCGAACATGAAGCGTATTAGCGTCGAGGCTGGTGGTAATGCCAAGATTCGAGTCCGTGGTCGTGGTTCTGGTTCGAAGGAAGGAGGTGTAGAAGATTCAGATGAACCGTTGATGATATTAGTATCCGCGGAGAATGATCGCAGCTTTCGCATTGCGTGCACATTGACGAGTGAGCTGCTTGCAGTGATTCACCGTGACTATCAGATGTTTCAACAGCGGGATCCGCCCCACCACTTCCGTGGTAGTGGCGCCAACTTTGGCCGAGGTCCGCCTGGTCGAAGCCACCGTTAGTGATGTGCTACATTGCTGAGTCACGTGATGCCTGCACTTGGTGGACGATTAAATCAGCTTTGCAACAACCAAGAAAATGTCCATGATGCTCATCAACGATGCCTTTGCTAGTGATACGTAGCTTTCCAGATGTACTCACCTACTTTTTAACAACGTCATCGCACCACGTTACAGCGGCGCCGCTACAACACGCGCTTCGATGGCGGCACGTTCGAGACGGACTGAGCATACGACATCAAGCGCTTGACGGACGTGAGATACTTGCGCTGGGACTCGTTGTTCATGACGTGCGCCTGTTTGTTCGAGTTGATCTTCTCCCGACCCGTGCGTTCGTGGATGCCCACCATCGTAACACCAATCGGCCACGCTGCATTGCCAATCGCGAGCTTGATGTACGCATCGTTGGCCAGGACAAACTCTCCCTGACGACAGAACTTGACAATCGCGACTAAATTCAGCAAAATGTCCGGCGGCACTTGACGCTGTTTGCACAACTTGAACAGCGGGCGAATGTAATCCTTGCACTGCTTCATCGTCTTGACTGCAATCTTGCCCTGCGCCGTGCGTTTGACATGGTCCGGTCGACTCGCCAAGTCCTTCTCCCATCCATGCAGCATCCCTTTAAAGAACCGATAGACCATCTTGTCGGCATCTTTCTCCTCCTCTTCCTCTTCTCTCTCCAGATCATCTCGTGTCCTTCTCTTGCTCCTCCTCCTCGTCTCAACCGACGCTTCAAATTCCTCAGCGTCTACGGCAGCATCATCAGCCTCTTCCTTTTGATCTCCCTCTTCTCCACCCACAAAGCGATTACGAATGCCATGCCCAGCTCCTAAATCATCATCGTGTTTGGTAGCCGCGTCCATCTCCACGTGACGGAGCCGCGTCATCCGGTCCAGCAAACTCTCTCCAAAGAGTGTAATAGGTTCACCCAATTCTCGCAGTCGGCGACGCAAATCTGGCCACGCCAAGAGCGCCTCCGGCAGCGTATTGTCATTTGTCTTGGTTTCAGTATACTCGGAATGAGTCGGTGTTTTGCGGTCCAATTTCTGCTTTTTTTGCTCGTCCTGGTGCTTTGTTTTAGTCTTTTGAATCACCTCCACTTGGTCACGTTCCAATAGTTTCTCCACTTCTGCGCGACGCAGGTACTTGTTTCCCTCTTTGTTTTGTATCAGCATCTTGGTCTTCTCTGCTTGGACGGCCGATATCTCCTGCTTCTTGGCGGTCATGACGCGCATGAGAGCTTCCATGGCGACTGTTTGCGATAATGGGAGTGGTAAAAAAAAGCAAGAATTGTGACGAAGTCAAGTGCGTTTCTATTTTTGTGTCGGGAATGGAATGACAAAAGAAAAGATCGCAAGTCACAAATTGTAAATTGCAGCTTTATTTGGTAGTGTTCGTAATGCCAAGCTGATTGCCGTGGTTTGCTTGCTTGTTATCCTGTATCGAGACGGGATTCGAATGCATATAAACAGGTTGCACCGATGCTTTGTTCGAGGTGAAGGGATAGCAACGGTGGGCAGAAATTGATACAAATGTGAGAACGCTGCGTGTAAATAGTGAGGATTTGTGTAACGGGGTGAATCGTTACATAACAATTTATAAGAAATTGTTAATAGAATATAACTATAAGAGTTATATTCTCAGAATATTGTCATAAGGACAATATTCTGTAGCACTTCCAAGTAGTTCCTAATTGGTTGATATAGGCCATTATATCAACCAACGAAGACGCGCCACGACAGACGCACGCAATGAGTGGTGAGCAGATAACTGATTTACACATTTGTATTTAGACATAGTTAGATGAAGATAAATAGTGATTTATTGCAGACATTAACTATTATAAATACAGTTCTACTTTTACTCTAACCGAGTACTCGCTTCTTCTTACCGTCTTCCTCTGCACGTACGAGTGTACGTGAAGTTACGAGGCACCGCCTTATTCTGTTATCAGAATAAGTAGCTTGTACTGTCACCAGTACAAGCTTCAGGGTGCCCCGTTACACCTGGTAGCACTTCGTAGTCCGTCCAAGGACTGCGGGTTCACATCCAACATGAATATGTTGGATGATGAAGATGACCAAAGCTTTCACGCTACGCGTGACGGCTACTCCCATTTGAGCGATGTCGAATGGGATGCGGTTGAACGAATGGGTTCGACCATGGGCATCCATGCTGTTAGCGTCATGCTAGAGGCTCTCAATAGAGATGCCCAACATGTTACTATCGCCAAGTTCATTCAAATGAACTTGACGCAGAACGCGAGAAAGTAGCCTTGCTTCACCAACAAGGTTCTCAACAAGCAGAGTTGTTGAGAGAACAAGGTGCTCAACAGTTTGAACTGTTGAGACAGCAGCAAGCTGCTGCTGGCGGGTCGATGCACTCGCGTCGGCCCGAGACTTTGAAGATTGACATCTCAAAGTATAGGGGGTCGAAGAAGACTCCCTCTTGAGATGGTTCGTCGAATTGGATGACGCCATAAGGGCGCGTCGCATCGACGACGGGGATATGCAAGTTGCATTTGCCCAGTCAAATCTGGCAGGACGTGCCAAGACTTGGGCACTGGGGCTCAAGCTGCACGACCCATACGCGTTTGGGTCGTTGGAAGTCTTTCAAGTCGCGGCTCAGACAAACGTTTGAACCGCCTAGAGCTGAGTTCAGAGCTCGAACCGAACTCTTGAAGCTCAAGCAGGGTAAGCGTGATGTGCACGCTTACGCTCAACATATACGACATCTCACGAGTTGTATAAGTTCCAATCCGGTGGATGAACACACGTTGGTTTCGGTGTTCATGCAGGGTCTTGCGGATGGTCCCGTCAAGACTCACCTGTTCCGGCTTGAACTAGATTCACTAGAACAAGCCATTTCAATTGCGGAGCAGGAAGACTTCAGTCTGAGACAGGCTCGCGCCAGCTCGACATCATATCGTCAACCGAGACGATATGACAACGGAGGTCCAGAGCCGATGGAACTCTGTTATGTAGAGAGCGAGAAGGCTCGCTCTACAGGCTACAAGAAGTTGCAGAGATGCAACAGATGTCAAAAGACAGGACACTACGCTTACGAGTGTAGTGCTCCTCGTCCAGTGTCTCGCGACACTGGGCGTAGTGACCGTCCACCCATGAGAAAGGGGCAGGGACGAGGGTCCGCAGTTGGTGCAAAGACGCAACAACGGGATGGACCGTCAAAAAACGGACAGGATCAGTAGGTGCGGAGCACCCTACTGATCCAGCAACGTCAAGAGAATTTGTAGGCCTCTTGATGAAGGTTGCTCCCAACACACAGACATTGTGCGTTGCTGCTCTAGGTAATGAGATCTCACTCATTACCTTGAAACTCGAAGTGACGAATAAGTTGTCCCTTCGAGCTCTAGTCGATTGTGGGGCGTCCAACAATTTTGTGCGACGCCAATCGCTAGAAGATGGTCACTTTAAATTCAGTGAATGTGACACACCTCCTACGAGGATGACGGTACGTCTTGCGACAGGCGCATCCGTAACCAGTCATGAAGCGTATAGTGAAGATTCACTATACGCTAGAAGATACCCAATACGACGATGACTTTATCGTATTGGATTTGGATGACAAATTTGATGTCATCCTTGGGATACCGTGGCTCAGAAGGTACGAACCACGGGTAAACTGGCAACATCGGACAGTAACGATGCCTGCCGCTTGTTCATCAGATGGCCATCTGATGAACGTTTTGGAGCGTCCACAAGCGTGTGGATGTACTACGAGTGAGTGCGATGGCCTCACTTGTGGTACGGTCGTTAGTACGACTGCACAAAACCTTAGTGTACCAAACGGTTACACTTCGGAGCAAAGTTCCGGCGGCTGTGAGGAAACACAGGCTGCGCCGAAGGTCCACCACTCGAATAAGTCGGGTGGACTGGGACAAAGATGTATCCCTAGAGGGGAACATCTAGAAGAGAAACAATCGATCGCTCAGGTTAAGCGAAACGATAATCCTAGATCGACTGGAGAGTCTTTCGTAGAGGATCTCGCTGTGGTTGCGCAACCCCAGCTAGAGGAAGTAAAGGGAATAAGTCCCAAGATTACAAATACGGCGGAAATAAGTTCCCCGAAACCCGCGGGAATAAGTCCCCGGGAAGACGAAGGAATAAGTCCTTCGAAGCCTGAGGGAATAAGTCCCCAGGAAATGACAGAGACATTGAATGTCATAGTCAATAACGGATCATGTGTAGGCGCTTATACACTTGATCTGATTGCGCCTCCGAAGTTAACTTCGGAGATCACTCAGTTGCCAACGCTCGAACATAAAAGGTTCTTGCGTGATCTGCGTAGTGGCAAAGTCAAGCAGATCTGCATACTCGTCGCTGAAGACGAGTATGTAACCGACATAAGGTCAGCAACAGTGTTTACTGAGAACGAGAGAGTTCTCAGTAGTTCATCTATGGACGAGAGTGCCCTAGATGAAAAGACACGAATTGAGCGATATGAGTCCCAATCATGGGAATCGCTCAAGGAAAATCCTCTCTATGAAGATTTGGTTGAATTCAAGGATGTATTCCCTGAAACTGTTCCGTGCGAATTACCGAAGGATAAAGGTATTCGACACGAAGTCGAGCTTAAACCAGGCTCGAAGTACTGTGTCATGAAGCAGTGGCCACTGCCTCGTGAACAAGTACTTGCGATCGACAAGTTCTTTGCCGATCGTTTAGCAGCGGGCCATGTGAGGGAATCAACTTCCCCACATAGCTTCCTCCGACCTTCTGTGTGCGAAAAGCAACAGGAGGGTGGCGGATAGTGCACGCGTTTAACAAATTGAACGCTGCAACGGTACCGGCTCAGACGCCGATACCGAGGAAGGACGTAATCATTGATGGTATGTCAAAGAGTACCATCTTTTCGTCCATGGATTTGATGGATGGCTTCTATCAAATCCTAATGCGGGAACGGGATATACCCTATACCGCAGTTAGCACGCCTAGCGGCATGCTCTGGGAATGGCTAGTAATGCCACAAGGGCTCAGTAATGCCCTGCCACGTTCAACAGGTGTGTATCACATCTGTTGAGGCCAGTACGAGAATTCGCGCCGAGTTATTTCGATGACGTATTCATCCATAGTCGAGCTATGGATGGAAAGTCGGACGTTGAGGTTCACAAGTACCACGTCCGACAAGTTCTTACAATCATGCGAAAGCATCAATTGTATGTAAACCTCAAGAAGTGTATATTTGCAGCAAGCGAAATACCACTTCTTGGGTGCATCGTTGGTAAGAACGGTGTACGTCCTGATCCCGAAAAGATCAAGGCGATCACCGACTGGCCCGTGCCGGTCGATGTCAAAGGTCTTCGAAAATTCCTTAGCTAGCGGCGTATTTGCATAAGTATTCACGCAATTACGCCGAGATGACTGTACACCTCTCTCGTTTGTTGAAAAAGAACGAGAGGTGGTTATGGAACGCTGAATGTCAACGCTCCTTTGAGGGTATCAAGCAGAGCTTGATACAATCCCCAGTCCTAGCAATAGCCGATCAGGACAGGCCATTTCATGTGGTCTGTGATGCCAGCGATTTCGCAATCGGCTGTGCATTAATGCAGTACGACCTTGAAGGCGTTGAACGCGTCGTCTGCTATCAGTCGCGTCAGCTGCAACCAGCTGAGCGGAACTATCCAGTGCATGACAAGGAACTCCTTGCCATGAAGTATGCACTCGCGAAGTTCAGAGTCTATCTATTAGGAGATAGACCCTTCGTTGTTTACACTGACCATGCGTCCTTACGCACGGCAGTGAACAGCCCGCACCTTTCACAACGAATGGCGCGGTGGTTGTCATTCTTTGCAGAATACAACTTTACGGTCGAGTACAAACCAGGACGACTTAATGTCGTCGCTGATGCACTCTCACGTCGTCCCGACTTTGAAACAGTCGCGAAACCCAACAGTGAGACAGTCACTGTTGCGGTTATGACGTCCTCAGTTCCATCTACAACGTTGTATGATGATGTGAGGCGGGCATACGCCCAAGATGGTGAGATAGTGAAGTTGTTGTCACATCTCTCCCAACCATCTCGAGAATCGTTGAAACGATTGTCGTCTGCGTATCGATCTACACCAGATCGATACACTACTCGTAACGGTTTACTGTACTATACAGCCGTTTCTGGTGACACACCACGTGTTGTCATTCCAGATGATACTGATCTGCGTTTGCGGATCATGTTCGAGTATCACGATGCTCCTATAGGAGGACATCGTGGCCGAGAGAAAACATATCTCACGGTAAGTCGAGACTTTTACTGGCCCCGCCAGTATCAGTTTGTGCGAAAGTATGTTCGCGCATGCGAAGTCTGCCAACGAGTGAAGTCAAGTCCTTCACTGCGTGCACCTTTACAGCCTCTACCGGTTCCGGCTGAGTGCTGGGAATCCATCTCAATGGATTTCGTCTTCGGGTTACCCAAAGACGCTCGCGGGAATACGGGCATTCTCGTATTTGTTGACAGATTCAGCAAAATGGTACACCTTGTGGCTGTACCAGAGACAATCACGGCAAGTGGCTGTGCTTGTGTCTTTATTGACACCATCTTCCGACTTCATGGGTTGCCCCGTGAACTCGTATCAGACAGAGATCCACGATTCACTGCTGATTTCTGGCGTTCCGTGTTCAAATCACTCGGAACGCGCTTGAAGATGTCAACATCTGATCATCCAGAGTCAGATGGTCAGACGGAACGTGCCAATCGTGTCCTTGAAGAGATACTTCGAGGATACGTACACTCCTTTAAGAGTTGGAGTGAGTTTTTGCCGATGGTAGAGTTTGCCATCAACAACTCGGTGCATGCGTCCACGACACATACACCGTTTTACGTGAATGGCTTGCGCCATCCGCGTGTACCCACCTTACTAGAGTGTAACTCTGGTTTAGGGGGGGGGAGGGACTCGCGCGAGCAAAAACCGATTTGGTTCACGCTCATCACGCTCTGACGAAGAAGTCATTGCGTTTGATGCCGATATCGATAACATCGATATCGAAGAAGATGATGCCAGTGAGAGTGCGGAAGCCCTCACTGAAGACAATGATCCCAGTGAGAGTGCGGAAGCCCTCACTGAAGAAAAGGTTGTTGTCGCTGCAGTGCGCTCACAGCACACTGAAGCTAACGAGTCATCAGATGAGTTCATACTGGCTCGTGAAACGGTAGTCCGTTTTGTGCAAGACTCCATCGCCGAAGCGGTGGATAAGCAAAAGCAAAACGCTGACAAGAATGGAAGGGCAAACACTCTTTTATTTAATAAAGGTGACTTAGTCCTACTGTCTACGGTTAATCTACCAAAACATGTAGTGACTAACTTGGGTAGCAGTAAACTACTACCCAAGTACATTGGCCCATTTCGTGTATTGCACCGCCTAGGCAATGCATACACGATCGAGTTACCACGTAAGATGCGAACGCATCCCACGTTTTACGTTGGTCGGCTTAAGCCGTACCATCAGTACGCTGCTTCTTCCGATGAAGAACGCCCTTGCGCTCAAGCATCTCGCAGAGAGCCTTGTGCTCCCGATGGTGGGCATCAACAAGGGTCTGAAGAGCAGTTATCTCAGCCCGAGACCGATCAACAATCCCACGAGCTACCCTTAGCTCGTCACGAAGAGATGTCAGAGATCTCTCGTTCTCAAGCTGAGCAAAGGCAAACTCAGCTCGATGCTTCGAGGCAGTGTCCGCCATTTGGAGACGCCTATTCCGCTCATGCTCGAGATCGTCGCGTAACCCTTGCGTTACGCTATCAAAGAAGCTCTCAGGAACACACCGATCCACATGGTCGTGTGGAGAGCGTCTTTCCTCCTCCACCACCTCCATTAGAGGACTCTCGCGGTGGCCAGCGCTATCTAGTTGAGCAGCTGTTGAACCACCGCGACGTGAACGGACGTCGGACGAGTTATCTCGTCCGGTGGCGCGGCTATCCCCCGTCCTGGGATACTTGGGAGCCCCGCTCCCAACTGATGGTTGACGTACTGGGTCTGGTTGAGCAGTACGACGCGGCACATCCTGTGCCGCAGAAGGACCGCCGGAGAAAGTCTTCCCGGCACGGTCGTAAAGGGATTTTAGGTTGTCAATCCCTTCGTACATCTCAGTAGAGACACGTACGCGCCACCACGGGCTGGTAAGGAGGTAAGCCTCCTTAGGTGCTCGTGCAGAGTTGTTCACACAACATGGGCACGAGTCTCCCCAAGAGAGGCAGGGTAATCCTTTCTCCCTTGACAGACGATGCAGCTTATAGCGTGCACCTGTCGGGGTTCGCTTTTCAAACTTATCACGAGCTTTGATAATTTTGTCGTTCCAAGCGTCACGACCTACATCCTCGAGATTATGGATGTAGGCGTTCCACGCCTGAAGTAGTGAGGGACCATC